GCTTCATTTCCACGTTTTCCTGCTTTGCAAGTGAAGTGCAAAGGAATGTAGAACATTCAAAAGGAAAAGTAGCACAGTTAGAAGAAAAACTGTAAGTAGTAAGAAGGGAATTGACTTGGTTGACAAGATTCCATCTAACTGTGCTTACAGCTTATCTCTCAGAGTAAGCAAAACAGGGGCTGTATCCCTGCTGAGAAGGAACAGACATTATCAGTGTTGGTAACCTGGAAAAAATGTGGTGGAATGAACTTGTAAGAACTGCTGTGTTCTTATAAAATGACCATACAAAACATTGTTCCTTCAGAGTATTTCCAAAAGACAGACTGTACCATCTCAACCCTTTGTCTTCCAGTGTGGTATGGGTGGGATTTTCTTGGGTATGGGATGGGGAGGGAAGACATAAGTCTTGAGAACTGTTGTTCATCTCGGAGCAAGCCATTCATGTGGATTGGATACTTCTGGCTCTTTAGGCTACTAAGTTAGGAATAAGCAAGAATGAAAAAGCTTTAGAGCAGGAGCTGAAATCCTAATTCAGCAGCCAGGCATTTCACACAGATTCCCTGGACACGTGGGTGTTCTCCAGAGAGTGGCACTGAAGAGCCACTGTGGTGCCTTCCCAGTTGCTTTGTCCTGGACGTTCTCTGAACAAAGGCAGCTGCAGAGTGGCTTGGCTTCAGCAGCTCTGTGTAGATAGAGACTGAGATCTAAATCAACACTTCCTGTTCTGCCCAAATAATGTCACTTGCAGCACAGGAACAGTGCACTGTTTTTGCTGAGGATGGTGACCTCTGAAGGATGAACTTCTATTTTAGGTCAGTTTTGCCTGATTGGCACTGCAGCACAACTGGAATGTTAAAATACACAAAGCTGATAATGCAGGTAGTGCCCGTCACAAAGAGAGGACGTGATAATTTGCTACAACAACTGCATTATGTTTATGCATTATGATGTTTGTGGCATGTTGCTTGTGGCAGAATATGGCTCAGCATCTTTACTGCAAATGAGGAGACCATATGGAACAAGTATTAAAAGAGGGTAGAATCCCCATGTAGAGCCAAGAGCAGTTTGTCAGCTAAACTGGATTATGAAAGGTGTGTGTTACTGTGTAGCTCTGGATTTGCTTAAATATATCCATCCTAAAAACTTCCTGGGTTTAGGTCTGCTGAGAGAGAGAAAGTTGTAGAAAAGTCTGACCCTGAAAACCTCCTAGAATCCATCACAGAGCTCAGGTAACAACAAATTGTTCTCAAGTTGGCTGGGGTAAGTTAAAAGGTGGTAAAACTAAGCCTGGCTTATGACTGGTGAAGTAGAACTTTGGCAATAATTGTAGAGGAGGGAAAAGAAATCAGGTATTTTTCCACACAATGGAAAGTAATTGTAAGATATTATTTTAATTATCTTTCTAAATGCCTCTGTGCTTTTTCTGGGCTGAGCAATACTGTGGAAGAGTTTTATGTCCATGGAAACCAGTCTTACAGTGCAAAAAGTTGTTTGGAAAAGTAGGTGAAAGCAGTTTTTTCTATTGGAAACCAACACTCCTAAGCATTTTTCCTTTGGGTTGAAGTGTAAACTTACAAATAAAATTTAGTAGTAACAAGTGCCTGAATTTTCTCCTACAATAGTGTTACAGAAACTGCTGAGAAATACAAAGCCGATATTGCTCAGCTGGAGGAGACACTGATTAAGAAAGACCAAGATATTGAGATCCTGAGGGATACCCTCAAAACAAAAGAGGAATCATGTAAACTGATGAAAGAACTTAATGAAAAGTGTCAATTGCTTCAAGAAGAAAAAGGTAAGTTTTAGTACTTGTATGCTCTTCCTTCTGTAGGATGATTGACATATCTTAAATCATCTCCAATAGGTTTGTTCTAAAATGTCACTTTAGCCTGGTTTGTTCCAAGTTAAAAGTCAAGTCTCTGAGCTCCAGCTGAAAACAGCTGGACATGTTTTTAACAATGGGGAAATGACTTCACGTCTGACCCCTATTAAGTCTGATTGGGTGTTTCCATGGAGGTTTACTCAAGCAGACAGTATAGAATGAAAATAGTTTGCATAGTAGGAGTGGCTTTAATCTGAAAGGCGACCACTAAGAAGTTCTTGTTCCTTTCTCTTCACTGAGAAGCAGGATAATATTGTCTGAATTCACTGTTAGCAGCTTGTGCACGGGTTCATTGAGGTATTGGCAATGTGTCAAGGATCCTTCACCTCCTTACCCCTTCTCTCCCAACACCCCCAACTCTGCAGTGTGAGACAGGTGCTCAGTTCTCTGTACCAGTTGACTTCTGTCTGCTAGTATTCTGTGGAAGAAGCTTTGGGGAAATCATCTAGTTTTTCCCCAGCCATAGTGCTGTTGTGATGAAGGCTAGTTGCTTGATCCAAACATTCCTGCCCTTCAAATTATTTTCAAGTGATGTACTTTGAGCAGATTTTGAGGAGTTTCCACATGGGTTTAAGATCTGGGTTTGTTTTGCATGGGGTGTTTTTGTTTGTTTGTTTTTCCCTTGCCAAACTAACTTGCAAGCTGGAATGGAAGTACTATTAAAAATAGATACTGTAGTTCTTTGAAAATGGAGGAGGCAATTTGTGTTATATTGACAATTTCTCAATGCAGAGAAAGAGTTGTCTGAGACCAGAGGAAAATTCCTGAGTATAAATGCTGAAATAGGAGACCTGAAAAAAAAAATTGTTTTGGAGGAAGGGCAACACAAAAAACTGCTTCAGAAACATGAGGAGGTTGTCTCTCAGCTGCAGCAA